AATTATATAAACTTATAGAGGTTCCCATATTGCAAACATCTGATAGTGATAGTAGTTGCAAAAATACTGATAATTCTTTGAGAAATATCTAGAGACCTATCATCTAAGCTAAAAAGTCATTCTCCATTTTATGTTTTAATATGTGTGTAATAACTTCCCAGATTTTCGTATTGCTGTGTATACATGTAACAGGATATCATGTGTGTGTGTGTAATACATATATGTTTTCGTAGATTTTCATGGGTATAGGTATGCAGGTCTTGGCGTATTCGGGTCTTTTCCCGTGTAAGATTGACAGTATCTTGGCGACGTTTCGACGAGGTCACACTCGTCATCTTTGGCTTTCAAAGGCACCAGTCTGAAGATGACGAGTGTGACCTCATCAAAACGTTGCCAAGATACTGTCAATCTTACATGGAAAAAGACCTGAATTTGCCAAGAGATTGAGATTGTCTTGGCAACGTTTCGGTGAGGTCTCACTCGCCATCTTCAGGCTGGGTTTTGGGCTTAAAGTGTGATCAGAGCTGCCATCTTTCTATAAATCTTGGTGTGTGTGTGGGGGGTAATGGAGTGCTGACTTTGTTTCAGTAAATGGAGTGATTGGTTGCGTGGTTGTATCATGATTGGTAGATTGGTGCTGGCTGTGTGTACATTGTTGTTTTGTGTTGTAACAGCCTGGGTGGTGGGTGGGGCTTGTTTGTTGACTAGGACTGATTTCCAGATGTTTGGTAGGCAGGAGGTATCGTCATGTTTATTCATGTTGTGGGGGTGTTTCTCTATTTCAATACCTTCCATAATTATTATCTTGTTGAAGTGTTCTGTTTTGGAGATTAACCTGGTTCCTTCAAAATTAATTTCATTTCCTGTAGCTTTAAGGTCCTGGAAAAGGGAGGACTTTTTTTCTTTTTTTCTTACTGCGTTCTTGTGTTCTGCGATGCGTGCATTTATTCTCCTATTCGTTTGTCCTATGTGTGTTGCAGGGCAGATTTTGCATGGTATTTCATAGACTCCTTGGTTTTCTAGCTGGATTTTGTCTTTGGGGTTTCTTAAGATGTTGGCTATTTTTTGGTCAGTGTTGAAGGCTGTCTTGATATTGTTTTTGTGGAGAATTTTGCTGATTTTATCTGTGGTGCCTTTGATGTAAGGGAGGAGGGCAATGCCGTTGTCCTGTTCTGTGTCTTGGTTTTTTGGGGGAGTCTCTTTGGATTAGGTTGGTAATTGTTTTTCTTTGCAATCCATTGGAGATTAATATGTTTGTGGGAGTGTGTGATTCAGTTTTCAGGTGGTCTTTGTTGGCTAGGCATTTGGTTCTGGAAATGAGGGTCTTGGCTACAGAGTGATCTGTGCAGGGTGGTGATGGGATTGTGCGTTTAAGTAGCAGTTGGTGTGTGTTTTTTTCTGGTAGATGGTGTGTCCTAGGGAGCCATTGGGTTTTTTGTAGATTAGGACATCCAGAAAGGGAAGTTGGTTGTTTGCTTCTATTTCCATGGTGAATTGTATTTTGGGGTGTAGGCTGTTGAGATGTGAGAAAGTTGTCCAGTTTTTCTTTCCCATGTGGCCAAATCACGAAAGTGTCATCAACATATCTAAACCAGAGTTTGGGTTTGTGTTCAGAATTATCTAAGGCATTAGTTTCAAAAGTTTGCAATGACGGGTGAGAGGGGTGATCCCATGGGTGCTCCTTCTATCTGTTTGTATCTTTGTCCATTATGGATGAAGTATGTGTTGGTTGGCAGTCGTTGGTCAGGTCCAGGATGTGTTTAGGGGGGTTGTGTTTGTTCTGGATAGCTGTCAAGGCTTCTTTTTTTAGGCACTTGGGTGAAAAGGGATATGACATCGAAGCTCACGAGTAGATCGCTGGGTTGTAGGTTTTGTTTCTTTATTGTTTATATGAAGTGGAGTGAGTTTTGTACATGTGAGGTGATGGATTCTGTGTAGGGTTGGAATTGTTTGTAGAGGAATTTGGCAAGATTCTGTAGAGGTGAGCCTATGGAGCTGACTATGGGTCAGAGTGGTGTTCCTTCTTTGTGACCTACTCGTGAGTTTCAATGTCAAAACCAAGGAGTCTACAAAATACCATGCAAAATCTGCCCTGCAACATACATAGAACAAATGAACAGGAAAATAAATGCACGCATTGCAGAACACAAGAACGCAGTAAGAAAAAACTTCCTCCCTTTTCCAGCACCTTAAAGCTACAGGATATGAAATTAATTTTGAAGGAACCAGGTTAATCTCCAAAACTGAACACTTCAACAAGAGAATAATTATAGAAGCTATCGAAATAGAGAAACACCCCCATAACATGAATAAACGTGACGATACCTCCCGCCTACCAGACATTTGGAAACCAGCCCTAATCAACAAACAAGCCCCACCCACCACCCAGGCCGTTACAACATGAAACAACAATGAACATAACAGCCAGCACCAATCAGCACCAATTTACCAATCATGAAACAACCATACAACCAATCATTCCACTTACTGAAACAAAGCCAGCACTCCATACCCCCCCCCCAAGATTTATAGAAAGATGGCAGCTCAGATCACACTTTAAGCCCAAAACCCAGCCTGAAGATGGCAAGTGAGACCTTGCTGAAAAGTTGCCAAGACAATCTCAATCTTACATGGGAAAAGACCTGAATAAAACAAGACCAGCATACCTATACCTGTGAAAATCTATGAATATATATATGTGTGTGTGTATACATACATACATACATACATATAATGTATAATATGTGTCTGTGAGTGTGTCTGTCTGTTTACGTCAGTGTTGACTCATGGTATCTACCTGGATAAGTCTCAGCAGTTTTTTTGGTGAGATTTTTAGAAATGGTTCACTATTATCTGCTTCCTTGGAAGAAAAAGACTGGCCCATAGTTACCCATCTGGCTTCCTGCAATATCAAACTCTCTCATACCCTGCCTAGTGGAAAATGCAAAAATGTGTATGTTTCTTTGTACTCTTCATTTTTGTATTCTTCCCTGTGCATTGTCAGTTTTAACTTTGTATCTAATTCTCCTAGGATCATATCAGTATTATGCACAAATATTTTCCTCAATATAAACAATTAATTCATTTATATAAGTAAATAAATAACAACTGTTAAAACTAAATTTATTTCAAAATAAGAAAATAAATGGGGGAAGAGATCTGTATCAGAAATACTTAAGGAATGTAATTTCTTAAACCTACAAGAAGTTACTTTTAGCTCAAAGTGCTCAGTTTGGCTCAATGTCCTATCTTACCATCTCTCATATACAGATAGCTCTTGTAAGGGTAAAAAAGAATGGAAGCCTCCTAAAGGACCATAAAGGAAAAGCTGGAATGCCCTAGAGCAGGGGTGTCAAACTGGCAGCCCATGGGCTGGATATATCACGCACAGGCCACACCCACCCCAGCTCCTCAGGGGGAAGAAACATCATGATATGTCACTTAACGACAACATGACATGGAGAGTTTGACACACATGCCCTAGAGCAAGGGTATCAAAATCCATTTAAGGTGGGCTTGGCCAGCTCAACATCCCTTGTGTCGGGGGCACTGTACTCCGCCAGTGAAAACAGGTTCCCGAGCTCCATTTTCAACTCCAAGGCCCTCCTGCAACCCTCTGCCAGCAAAAATGGAGCTTGGGGGGGCCACATTCAACCCTCCCAAGCTCTATTTTCACTGCAGAGATGCCACAGATGCCAGTGAATCCTTAACTGTTTCTAGGGCAGCTCCGCGGGCCAGATCTAAGCACCCCGTAGGCCAGATCCGGTCCCCGGGGTTTGAGTTTGACACCCCTGCCCTAGAGCAATCACCCCTATTTCATGTGCTGTTTCTCATTTCTGAATTAAATTTCAGGATTTCTTTACACTTTCCATTTTGCACAGGTAGAATTAATGTATTATATGTTACAATAAATGTGCAAAAAGTGTGTGTCTTTTGTGCCTGGAATTTGGATCGTCCTCCATAGAAATTTTGTTAGATGGTGGGTGGGATACACGAGAAAAATTGTTAGTTATCCTAGCTGAAAGTAAACTAATATTAAAACATGTAAATGAGAAAGGAGCAGTGAAATTAGAATTTAGGGATAAACACATAATATCCAAGCAGGATTAGTTCATACTACAGGCAGCTATTTCTGCTTCTGCTATTATTTCCAACTTGAGTCATAGTAAAATTAACAAACAATCTGTGCCAATGCTCCTCTTACCACATTTATTTCAGCATATAGTTTATTATCTTCAATCCAACAGAGAAAGTAATTTTTATAATCCATGACTTTATTTTAATAAAAATATTGGATACTAACTCACAAGTCAGGAAAAAGTAAGACTTGTATTAGGAATTTGAGATATAATATGTATGGAATTATTAGAAGAGTATCAAATGAGATATGGAGAGTCATGCTACATTGCACATTTTGTATTCATAAAGAAACTTCCCATGCTGCATCCTCAGTTAAAACTTTGTTTACTGGGCACGCATTGTCATTCAGATGTGTTTGTTATAATGATCAGCACATTTAATATTACATCAGTTACAGGCATACAGATTTGAAAAAGAGATTTCCAAAATCAATCTTTCTAGGGTATAAAAAATATTGAAGAGCAAATTGTGGGGCGATTCTCACCTGTGTTTGATAAATACAATAGAACTTGCTATATGTAAACAAATGATATGCTTTCAAAAAAGTAGTCGATCCAAAATGAACTTCCAGCTCTCCAGCTTAGAGCATACAAGCTATATTTATTCATTTTACACTTACTCTACTTGCCCCAATTCCAAAATTACAAGCAGCATGGGAATTTTGTGTATTATAAAACTCTCCCTTCCCATAAGAATTCCCCAATCATACATTCATCAGGAAGAGATGCTTGTGGCAAAGAAATTATGACCATGAACAGTTCTCCAAACAGTATTTCACTCTGCTTTTCATACTCTTTTCTCCACCTGTTTCCATTTCCTTTTCTTTTTTTCTTCTTCTCTTTTTATTTCCCTCTGCCAAGGATGACGAGTGCTGACACCTTGGGGTAAGCTCCAGTTTTCAATTATACCTGTTGTAGAATCTTTTCTCATTTGGGGGGAAAGATTTCTTGCAATGATCCCAGTGTAAACATTCATTATTGTGCAATCAAAAATATTTCAGGAAGAAATATTTTAGTACAGTGCTTTGATGGAAGGGGGAGGGTGTTCCCACAGGAGTGTGTACTTCCTTACCTTGATGTTGTATTTATCTTACTGATTGCAGAATAAGAGAAAATTAAATGTGAAGTCTTGTAATAGCAATAGCATTTAGGCTTACATACTGCCCCATAGTGCTTTATAACACTCTTTCGATCCAGACCTTCCGCGCAGCCCTCAAGATCTGGCTCTCCCAGCAGGCCTGGGAATAGGTTTCCAATCACCCGCCCGAGTGTTTGATTGCTGAATGAAAGTTGTGTTTTATTATTTTTCTTTTGTTCACTAATTGTTTGTTTTGACCTTGCACTTCCCCTCCCCTGTGGTTGTAAGCCGCCCTGAGTCCCCTCAGGGAAAAGGGCGGCATATAAATCCCAATAAACCTCTAAACCTCTAAACCTCTTTGGGTAGTTTGCAATGTACGCCTTATTTGCATATTGCCCCCAATAGTCTAGGTTTTCATTTCACCGACCTCGGAAGGATGGAAGGCTGAGTCAACCTTGAAGCAGTCAGGCTTGAACTCCAGACTGTGGACAGAGTTTGCCTGCATTACTGCACTACTACTACTGCGGTTCCAGAGCTTGTACAAATTTTTGAAAGCTAGCGCCAATTGGAAGAAGGCACGTAAAGTCTGGAAACAGCAAAAAAGTATTATTTATAAGTCATCTTATTTAGCAGAACAATATATAGTCCCGTCTCACAGAATCATATAGGTAAGAGTTAGAAAAATTCTTGAAGGTCATCTTGTCTAACTTTTTGCCCACTAAAGGAATATACTACTGTGTCATCCCCAACAAATGATTATCAGCCTCTCTTCATATATTTCCAACGATTGAGATCTCATCAGCTCATAGTGCAGTGTGTTTCATTGTTGAACAGCTCCTACCATTAAAAATTCTTTCTGAGGTCCAATTAAAATCTGTTTCCATGTAATTAAACCCATTGATTCTTATCTTCTGGAACAACTCTGCTTTCTATATGATAGCTCTTTAATGGTTGGAGAATTATCACATCTTCTCTAGGCTAAATATAACAGTTAATCACAGGGGTTTTTTTTCTTTCATATCCCTTATTTTTTATTGCTTTGCTTTGATTGATCAGAGCATGGCCTCATTGGTCAGTGTACGTATAAAATGTACTACCCAGAACTAGATGCAATGTTCTAATTGTAATATAACTAATGTAGAATAGAAGGAAACTATGAGTTTTCTTGACCTTGAGACTATATTTCTGATGATGCAATTTAGATTTGCATTCACTTTTTTGTTTTTGCTTTGTTTTTCAAAAGAATAATTCTGGAAGCTATTTTTGAAGCTCCAAAGTAAAAGCTCTCCTTGACAGATTTGGTCCTTTTTAATCATGTTCCTTCATTTCTCTGTCTCTTCCCCCTGTTTTCCCCTCTTCTCATCATATGGAAGACTTCTTGATATACCATATAGTTCCTCTCCAAATGTTTATTGTATTCAGTCCGTTTTCCCGGATAAATAGGGAGTGAGAGATGAATAGGTTTACTTCTAGCTCCAGCACTTTCATCTTCTTTTTCAGGAGGGTCAGCATATATAAGACTTAGTATGTTGTCAAAGGAAACAACTATGACATATCTTCTATAAGTCCCAACAGCAGTTCTTCCCATGGTTCTCAGACAAAGAAAGAAGAAAGAAATGAAAACTTCTCACTTTCTGTGGAATTGCGTACACATCCATGATAAGCACCCTTACAAAGCACCTGAATTGTTCGCTCTGCTATTGGCTTCTCAAAAATTAGGAGAAGGATAGAGGAGTTTACAAGCTTCTCTGTGATGACTTCCCCCAACCAAACTCCAGTTTCCTTTCTCTCTTCACTTATTCAGTGAACTCAACTTCGGAAGTGGCTTTCTTTTTTATGTCCTGGACCTGCCTCAGTTAAACTCAATAGAAGGCAATGCTCCAGTTGAATGTTGGAGTGGGGGAAACCTAGGAGCAGCAGTCAGAAATAAATTGCCATCACTAGTCAGCTGTATCTCCTTTGCTTTTGATCTTTTCTTCCTTCACACTTCTTCTCTTTCCCAAAACTTCATTTTTGCTGATTCTCCATCACTTGTTCATCTGTATTATCTGGACTAGGTTATAAGGCAAGTGTAATTTGAGTGTGAGAAGCAGTAATATTAGAATAGTCAATGCCAACTGGGAGATTTAGTGCCAATATAGATGCAGCTCCTTCCCGTCTTTAAAGTTTTAAGTCCTGCCTAAGCAGAGGTTATTACTGGGCACCTCCAGATACAGCTTTGTTCCTCTACAAAATCAGCTCCGGACCTGTGTTGTCTTACACTGTTGTTTGTTTAATGGCCAAGTTAATTTATTTTCCAGTGAGTGATTGCTAGTCCTTTGAGGTTGTCCAGATAGGAAGTACAACCAAGAGCATCAACACTATTTTTATTGTAAGGTTACATTAAACGGAATCTTGCAAGATGAAAACATGTCTCTTATCCTCTCTTTTGTTTCTGGAAATTTAGGAAGGGTCCCTTCTGAAATACTTCCTATATTTTCCTCTCACTTGCGGACTGAGCTGCCTCTTATCAGACAATTGCTTTATATTTGTTTATCCAGAAACTTCTGATGTCTGTGGCAAGTATTTAAGAAATTGAGATTCTGTGATAAGATGGAGAGAATCCTAGCCTCACCTGATTCCATCTTCTCAGCCTTGACTGAAATGAGCATGAAAAGGCTAAGCCCAAGAATGATGCAAAACGATTCATGCAGAGTTCAGTTCTTTATTTGCTTACACACAAGGGACAGAATCTTGCCTGACTAAACCCTTACTATGCTCACCCTAATGGATATACCATGGGAGATGGCTATTCTTACTATTTTCCTCTCTCACCTATGGATCTCTGGGTTGGGCTGCCTCCTCTCTCCCTCCCCCCTTCTCTTTCCTGGGAAACTACCACTTTATTGTAGGCCATCATATCAGTTCCCCCTCTAAGCACACCTCAAAATGTGAACAAATTCATGAACTGTGGTGGTGGTAGTAGTGGTGGTGGTGGCAGCAGAAATTTTTCTTCTTGTCTGTGAAAGAAGGAGAGCCATTATTTGTTTATTGGTGGGGTTCTAGAACTTTTTGGGGAAACAATAAACTCAGCTGCTACCAAGCTACTACTTGGCATGTCATCTTTGTTCAACTGTTAACTGGCTGAAGCTGAGCAACAGTTGCCTGAAAGTGCCTTCTGCAAGCGTTCAGGTGCCTTTGGCTCTGGAGATGGGGAGGGCAAAGTGAAAGAAATGGGATGGTTTTATTGTGTATTGAAATTATTTGCAGGTAGAAGGGATGGCAATGCTTACAAGTCAGCACATATTTTATATGTTTTTAAGCTGTTAGAATGCAATGGCTCTCATTTGCTCTGGCATTTTTGCTTTTAATCCTATATGACAGAAGTAAAATAAAAAGGTGTTCATTTTTCTGGCATAGAAACACAAAACAACCAATGGCATTTTTTAAAAAAATGTGTATATTTCTCTTTGCATAAATTATAACATTTTGTATTGGTGAGGTAAAGTGCAATACAGGTAGTCCTCGACTTACAACCGTACATTTAGTGACCATTTGAAGTTACAACGGCACTGAAAAAAGTGACATGAAGAGTTTTCACAATTACAACCGTTGCAGTATCAGAATTTTGTTGCTTGGCAACTGACATGGATTTATGACAGTTGCCAGGGTGATGTGATCACCATGTGTAACCCTCCCAGATGGCTTCCTACAAGGAAAGTCAAAGAGGGAAGCCAGGTTTGCTTAACAACTGCATGGCTCACTTAACAACGGCAGTCATTTGCTTCACAGCTGTTGCAAAAAAAAGTCATAAAATGGGGCACTTACTTAACACCTGTCTTGCTTAGCAATGGAAATTTTGGAGTCAGTCGTGGCCTAAGTCAAGGACTAACTGTAGAGACAAAAATATGCTAGCCTCTTTTTTTTATAAATAAGGCAGAAAGATATATCTTCCCACGTTATTTCTGAATTTTAAAAAAACTGAAATGCCTTATTTATTACATAAATATTTATCTGTTTTTATTATTGATTCTTGTTTAAAATTTCTCAAAGGCTAAAGTAACAATTACAAGCAAACTGCATGCAATTAATCTGGAGAAATCTTTTTTTTAAAGTTTTTTTAATTTTTCTTACTCATGCATGCATACATTTCACAAATATACATTTCTCATAGATATTATTATTGTTGTACATTATAATTTAACATTTATGATTCCATTCTTCCTCTAAAAATATAATAATATATTCGAGATTGCTTTCCTGCCATCCCGTACATCCATCTTATATTGCAACAACGCTACTTCTTCCCTCTCTATTTGTCCTACCCTCTTCTCTACTTTCTTCTTTCCTCCTCTTCTTTCTATTTTCTTCTTCCCCTTCCTCTCCCCTACTCCTCCCCTCTTCCTCCCCTTCCTCCTACTCTTGCTACCCCTCCCTCCATCCCTTCCTCTCCTTTACCCTTTCTCTCTCCTTTTCTCTCTTCTCCTCTCCTCTTCCCTCTCCTTCTCTCTCCTTTCCCTCCTTCCATTGTTGCACTTTCATATTTTATTCGATCTGATGTATTTTCGGGATGCTTGTTGGAAAGACTGAGATTCTAATACTTTGCTCCCTCCCTGAGTTCCCTTCGGGGAAAAGGGCGGCATATAAATGTAATAAATCCAATCCAAATCCAATCCCTCATACTAAGCGTTTGGCTTTATGTCGGAAGGGTGTGAGGAAAGCTTCAGCTTCAGTAGATTTCTCAGATAATTTCATTGTGAACAGGTGAGCTTTGCAAAATGGATGAGGCAGGGGAAGGGATTCAACAGTTTATATATACGTTATTCTAATTTCTAACAAACCTCTCGTTAGAGGAGTTGCTTTAATTATAACATTTATCAACAGTGGAGTTCTGTCATAAACTTGTACTAATAAAATATTGATATCACACTGCACGGTTCACCAGAGTGCATTAGAGGAAATAATACGGGTTGTACATATGAATCATTTGGAGGGCTCTATTGGACAGTAATAATTAACATTCTGAATATGATGCTCGAAGCATCAAGGTGCTGTAGAGAACCCCAATTGAAGAAACATCTTTTAGGCATGAACACACCTGTGCAAACAAAATAGACAGAGGCTGCCCTGAGCCTTTGAAAAGATGATGTTCATTGGCATTTGGTGCATCCAGTTTGTAGGGGGTCTTTCACTCCCTTCTTAAAGAACTTCTCCAAAGGATTTGCAAAAAGTGTAAAAGGAGTAAAATGACAAATGTTTTTGTTTTCATCCACAGATATTAAATGTGTCTGTTAATTGTAAGAAATGGGCATGATCAAAATCATTTGAGAAAGACTGATCTTGTGATGAACCTAAAGGCCACTGGAGATTAGAAAAGTTACATGGAAATGGCTATTTCTTTTTCTATGGTTGCATCAGTCTGCCCCTGAGGCCTTTCCTCAGACTAGATTGCTGCCTTATTCTTCCTTTTGTTCACCCAGTATGATTACCTAGTGCGGTAATAGATTACCATGTGGAGTTGTTGAAAAACAGGATTTCTATCAATCCACAGCATCTGTGTTCTTTCATCCTAATGTTGCTTTAGGCCGCTTTCATGAGAAAGGTCTCCCCTCAGTTTTCTTTAAACTGGTCTTAATTCTGTCTGATGGGAAAAGAACAAGCAGAGAGTCATATCCCATTTGAAATTATAAATGTCATTGTTAGATAGCACTAGATGAAAAGTAAAATCTATATTTTCTTCATTACAGCTATGTGGTACCTAGAAGAAAATATACATGAAGAAAATATAGATTTTACTCTTCATCTAGTGTAGAGTAAAATCCATATTTTCTTCATTGTAGCTATTTGTTTTCAGGCACTGAACTGAAATTTTATTCTTGGAGCAGTTCAGAGGTTATTTTATAAATAAGCTTTGAGTCAATTAAGATTTGATGTACCATTTATATGTAGCTAAATACAGATTAATTGACACAACTCTTTGTTTATTCAGCCAGGATGAACAGCCAATATATGGGCCTGATAAATACTAACAAATACAATCCTCTCCATAATTTCAAAGCTGTAAATTTTGGCAGAACAGTTTTGTGGGTTCTTTCATTTTGCAAGCCCCTCCCACCCCCCACCCCCGAAAGAAAAAAAGACCATTTTGTAAATCTCTCTCTCTCACACGCATACATAAACACATACACACATGCACATACACAAACAGATACAAGGGGTGGGGAGGCTTTTCCTCCTGCATCCTCTCTTTCTTTCTTTCTTTCTTTCTTTCTTTCTTTCTTTCTTTCTTTCTTTCTTTCTTTCTTTCTTTCTTATCATGATGTATTTGGATTTGCAGAGTTGGAAGACTTAGAAACATTTTACCTTTCTTCTTTTTCATCTTTCCTCTACACCCCCCCCCCTGATAATTTTATTGACTGTCTGCTCCAAACTTTATCTCTTTTATCTTATTAACCATTATTTTTTGACATGTGTACATAGCACTATTTCCTATTGCCTCCCCACACAATTTCCCAGGCTTATATACATGGGAGAGAATGTGGTATACTGGATACATTGATCTCCCGGTCAAAAGTTTCTCCCTTCTTACCAGAGATTTCTCATGATTACATAATTCACCTTGAAATTATGCCTGGTGGCTCTGTAGGCTGTTCCTCATCCAGTCCACATGACAAACCTAAAATTCCCCTGAAAGCATTCACCTCAACGAGCAGCTAATATAAGCTTTTCCTTAAGTTTCATGAGGTGTCAAAACAACCCTCCTTTCATACCATTGCGGGCAATTTATAGAATAATTGATGCCTTAGGGAAGAGAAGGATTTCAAATAAAAGCACTACATTGGTAAGCGCTAATCTTCCCTTCTCCCATATAAAATCACTTTACAAAGAGAGAGAGAGAGGCCCAAACACACACATACAACCCCTTGCATATGTCCTTTAAGTTACAAAGACAAGTTCGAACATTTGGCTGCTATATGGTGATTTCTTTTCCCCTGCAAGATCATTTTACGGAAGAGAAGGATTTTGATTTAGAGGCATGTTTCCTATGAGAGTAATTCTCTGCCAGTTTTGGGTCCCAAGTTGTAGGAAATAAGCAGGTTCCGTAATAATTTCATATGCAGAAGAGGCAGCTACATAAATATAAGTCTTTGGTTGAAAAATGGGCTGTGCATGTATATAAAATAACTGTTTTAAATTTGCATGCATGATCTGTTTGTATGCACAAACCTCAACCATTGTACTCCCTTGACCTCTCTCTTTGTTAATTACTGGCACTTTGTTTTGTTCAGTGAAAGTGCCTTCTGCAAATTTGGCAATAAAATAATCCGGTGCCATACAAATTAGATCCAAGGAAGTGATCATTTATAACTTTCCTCATTTTATACAGTTTGGATTTCTTCTACATTATCTCAGTTTTAGCCAGCGGAAAACAAAACCTCTCAATCTGAGGCTTTTTTTTTTTAGCATTTTTACATGTGAAGCTTTAATGTTCATTTCATAAAATGTGTGTGATGTTATTAATATGTAATTAATATAAAAATGCCCTCTCAGTGAACCAGTAGCAAACCGGTTAGGAACGCACCACTGCTAAATTCAGAAGAATTAATATCCTTCCTATTTTGCTTCTTGTAAACTATGCAGTAACATGCAAAGTAGGACATTAAATACTTGTTAGGCCATCTTTGTGGATTGGTCTTTTGAATATTATCTAATAACCATTTAATTGTTATCCTACCTGATTTTGAGTGGCTTTAGATCACAAATGTCTACATTTGTTCAGCTGGCATTTGTGGGTCTATCATTTAGTAAATAATTCTTTTTTTTTTTTTATAAAAAACTTAGCACTGTTAAACATTTGTCTGCCCTGTAGTAATTTTTTATTCTTTTTTTATTAAACTTAAATCGATACTAAATTTCTGATTAATAATGGACCTATAGTCAAACCACTTTATTATTAATGATTTTACATACTTATATTTTAGGGAGCATATTTTATCATTTAGATAGCTTAGTAGTAGCGCAAGAATTTTATTCATCTATGAACTTTTATGTCATTTTATGCAGATCTTCAATCAAAATAAAGTTGTCTTTCTTTGTGGATAAGTACTCTTTGAAAAGCATATATCAGATCTGTATGAGGTTTCTTTATAGAGGCGTGAACCTATGGAGATTAAATGTAGCAATAGCTGCCCTGTGCAATGTGTTTTTGACAGGGATTTCTCAGGATTTTATTTTGACTTTGTGTCTACTTAGGTCTCGTTCAATCAGTGGAGCTTCATCTGGCCTATCTACCAGCCCTCTCAGTAGTCCAAGGGTAAGTGAAATTGTTCAGAGGGCATAATTTTAATAATCTTCATTTGAGTTAGGGAAAGTGTAATAACATTTTCCCACAGTTTCAGGGGTGGGTTTGTCATCCAGAAAATGTAAAGCGATAAAAAAAAGTTGCAGTATTTGTATATATAGTATATTGTATATCTTATGAACAGAGAGATAAAGGGAGCCAAAATCTAATTGTTTTTTACAGATACGCTCATGTGTGAAAGCACTTTTGTTCATGCATTGTTTAGCATTACGTTGTTTAATTTGTGCCTGCCACACTCCCTACTTCTATTGTTGCTACCTAAAGTAGCTTTATTTCCTAGCATGGTGGCAGTTATAAAATACTGGAGAGTTGGAGAGATTATGGCATGATGAGAAGAACATCTGCTACTCATTGCAAATTCAGCATGAGGCACTGAACCATAAAAAATAGAGCTACTTTGGAACTGAAAGGCACAGCTGAACAGCCTTTGAAAAACAATGAAATCTAGTCAGCAGAGGAATCATACCAAGTTGGATTAGGAAATTGTTAGTGTGAAAATGAAAGCAACTGAAACATTCAAGAACGATATAGGAAGAAGAAGAGATTGTATAATTGGAGACCATAGAATATCCCTGTGGAGAACTGGGGATTCTCTCTTGCAAAGCTACCTTGCCCTTTTTCATCATTTAGCAAGCCAAGGACTTCCTTCTTAATCAGCAGCAGTTGAATTTTCAAGTATTACAAACCCATTAGAGAAAAGCAATTATGGACTTGAGGTTAATGGCAAATTGGATGGTCGTATGTAGATCATTCTTGTTTGATGAGAAGTTATAAACTAGCCACTTTTTTGATACAGTTTTTTTTAAAAAAATACATACTGTCCCAGATCAATGAAACAGATACATCATTTTGAAGAACTTAATGAGTAGGATAGAAAAAGAGAGAAGTTCCTAGAGCATGAAACTGTAATGCGCTTGATATTGAACAATATTTGAGAGCTTCTCTTGTATTACAGGGCTTTCTTTGTTTTGCTGACTTTCTGATTTACAGTTAATCCCTGAAATTTTGGTTCTGAAACCTCACATTGCACATTCAATTTGAAAGAACAATGCCATTTAATTTAATATGGGAATGTGCGGTCTAGTCTTGGACCAGATTTTCAGTTTCTGGGTAAGACCTGATCTTATAATGCCCCTTTTGCTTTATGCCAATTCATAATAATGACTAAAGGATAGTATATTAAATGTAGTTACTCCAAAGATCTAAGCGTAGAGTAGAGGAGCTGAGCAGCACAAGCTACTCAACAGGTTATGATTTGAAATGGAAAATGTGTAAGTGTAATGACTTCTGTTTGTAGGAGCAATTCTGCCCAAGTATTTCCATCAGAATTATGAGGAATATGAATGGAATAACTGCAAAGTGGCCCCTTCTAGTCCCAGATCCTTTTGATTATCCAATAGTATATCATAATTAAAAACTAGCTGAATGATGAAAAAAACTATAGAATTACATTACTTCTGCCAAATTTCAGACTAGTTAATTGAATCCATTTGTCTCCATTTGCCCTCATATTATGCACAAAAATAGTTAGATTATAATTTTATGCAGTTGTAACTTCTTAAATAGCTTTAGCTATTTGACCACCAAAATTATAGAAAATACATTTATATGAGTGTGCAATATTCAGGTATTGTTACAATTTTCAATTTAAATTTTTAGAATTTTCAGTTGCAAATTTTCACTTACAGTTACAATTTTCACTTATAAAATGGTCAAAAACAGGTTTTTTGCTTTGATGTTTCAATGATCCTATTGATTATAACAGTACCTTGTTAGAAATATGTCAATTTGTATTTTGAAGTATCTTAGCATATTTTATAATTAATTCATAATCTCTAATGTCCCCTCGGTTTCACTTTGTTTTTTTATAGCACAGTTTCTTTTTTTTGTTTCATTTATAGCAACTGGTGGATACTATCACTTTATTTTTTGTTCACAACCAGATCCAAATATTAGAATGCTTGATTATCCAATGAAAGTAGGAGTATTTGAGCAAATCTGATTTGTTGATCGTTGCGAGGATTCATAATTAAACACCATGTTTCTCTGAAGAATTCCTATTGAAAAGCCTGACATAGAAAACTAAATTATTTTCTCTGGGTAGAAGGTCAAGGAGGAATGGAAAGGATGTGCAAGAATAATTCTCTTTCTTTTGCATGCACACACAGACATACATTCACACATGCACACAGACAAATTGTGTCCCTTTGAAAGAAATGAGCAGAAATCATAAATGTAGTAATTTGTGGGGCTTTATTACTACCTGTTGCACGTATATTCTTTTTTATCTGCCTTTCCCTGCTGTGTTTGGTTGTAGTAGACATTTTGATCTGGGAGAGGGCAAACTCAGCCTATATACCTACAAGCTGGTTGTTGCTGTGGTTTGAATGGTCCTCCTTCCCCGTCCTCACCTCCCTTCAACCTTGTCCTTTTCTCCCTGTGAGATACAGACCAGCTCAGGGGTATGGTAGTTTTTGAGGGTGAAGGTTCATTCTCAGAGCTTGTGGGTTGGTTTCTGAACGTTTCGTTACTAGGCTAGGTAACATCTTCAGCAAAGTTTAGGGATGTCAATGTTCCCTTATCAACAGAAGAACACTGACATTGACATCCCCTAAACTCCACTGAAGATGTTGCCTAGCCTGGTAAGGAAATGTTTGGAAACCAACCCACAAGCTCAGAGAGTGAGCCTTCATCCTCATCACACACCTGAGCTACAGATATTCACCACTATAGTAGTTTTTCTCTGCACAGCTTCCCTGGTTCTTCCTACCCTGTTATTTTTAGTTTGTTTTCCTCCATATTTGTTTTTGCTGTGTGATTTTTCTTTGCTGACACATGGTTGGTTAATATGATAAAGCTTGTGACAAAATTGTTTTCACTACCGCTACTGCTGTTTTTTGATTATGCTGTATTCCCAGCTAACTGCATGTTTTTTGTTTGTGTTTGTGTTTTGTTTCTTTGCAAACCCTTAACCCCACCTCCTTTACCCTCATCGCCATAACTCACATCTCTTTGTAATGCGCACAATTGCAACTGAAATGGGCTTTTTTTCTCTATTCACCCATGGGATGTATGTGTGCGTATGTATGTGTTGCTTTTCTTGATGTGCATGGATATTCACTCTGTATGTGTCTTGTAGCCTCTCAGAAAATTTTTCATCCCCCCTCAGATTCCTGATCTCCCTGTCACTCCCCGCCCCCAACCCTCCCTGGACTCTGATGCTTGTAGGAACACTTCCAGACCTGGACATGTTCTGCAACCAAAGCCAGCACTTCAACCCAACCCAAGGACACAAACTTTGCCTTCCAAGAGCAAATTGGCTGAAAAACCACTTCAGTCTACCAAATCTAACCCACTCCCTTCTAATAATATTGTTGTCCCTCCATCCCAGAATATCCCTGCACAAAATACTCAGGGTCGTCCACCTGTTTCTGGGTGTAACCCACAACTGGCTGTTTCTACGGTGCCGACCAACCCTATGTCTCCGGTTAGGTTGCTCCCTTCCAGTACTGACCCAAGCACCAAATCTATCCCCATCATACAGGTTACCCCTCACCCCTCTCCAAGGGGCAGTCCCCTCCCTACCCCCAAGGGGACACCTGTCCATACGCCAAAGGAGAGCCCAGCGGGCACACCCAACCCTACGCCACCATCCAGCCCCAGCATTGGAGGAATGCCCTGGAGAACACGGCTCAACTCAATCAAGAACAGCTTTCTGGGATCGCCTCGATTTCATCGCAGGAAATTGCAAGGTACAAATCTTCCAAAACCATGGCAATTTAAGACTGACAAGTAAAAGTCAAAAAATACAAAGAAGGGTTGGTTAATAGATGAAAATGATATGAAGCATTGACAGGAAAAATGAAAGTTCTCTTATTACTACTTGGCTATGCCACATTTGTTGTTATTCAAATAATGACCTTCCTGTAGTTTTTCAAGTATGTCCTAATAATCATAAATACTCAATTTCTGATTTTTTTTTTACCCTGAGAATGAAAAATCAACCTTTTAAAAAAAAACCAAGTATAATCTGGGTTAAATTTTAGTTCTGTTGTGATGCTTGAAAGAAAATAGGTCCAACTAAGAATCTGGAACTAACAATCATGGCAATCCTGTGCTGTTGGGTTCCTTTTTCCAAAATATGCAAGTTGCACTTCACTTGCATTATCATCTCAAGGGAGCAAAGTTATCTAAATGAATTATATGGAAATTGTACTTGAAGCTTTTTGTCCCTGTATAAAAGATTATGTGCCAAATTATTTTAATGTTACAAATGTGGTAGGAATGACAATACTATCTGGAATCACCTTCCTGTAGATTCTGCTTGCATCTTTGATATTGGTACTTGCTTTAGGACTAATTTGTAAATTCCCACATAGTTTTTCTCTTGAACTACTATGTGTAAGTTACTGCTTTCCGACCCAGGTTTTAACTGAGAAATAGTATATAAATTAGTGTAAGAATATTTGTCTTGAACACATTTCTATTTTTTAAAAAAGTCAGTTCTTACTTGATAAATGACTTTTTGCACAATAGGAAAAATCTTTAGCAAAATTGGATTCATTCAGTTACGTCTTAGACTGATTTTTCACAATCACAGACTCAAGACTTCAAAAATCAAGAGCTGAGTTGTATTCCCAGACATAAGCAGATTGAAGGCAGTCAATGAATGTGGTTGATAAAGGCCAAAGTTTTAATTTACGTCATATGATAATACTGCAGTCCATGAAGGATTCAAAATGCCCATTAGAGAAAGAGAATTGAAATTTTGGAAAATACATTCTGGCCAAAATTAGAAGCTTGTTGTATTTGTTTTACATTGAGTTTTCTTTCATTTAAGAATCGTGTAGAAACAATTAAAAAACAACCCAATTGCATTGTAAAATGTCCCCCAAAAATCAGATTGAAATGGTTGTTTGTGAACAGTGAACACTGTTGAATATAATGAAACACTGCTTTTTAAAACAAGTTTACTGATGCTTGGAGGTTTCCTTAATTATTATTAAGGCACTGAAATTCAAGAGAGACATATAGTTGAACAAGCATAGCCCTTATATGGCCCAGAAGAATCATAATTAAGTGAATAATTATTACCTTTTATAAAGGCCCTAAATGAAGGAGAATAAACCTCCAGCCTAATATTTTTTTACACATAGTGGAATTCACATAGCATTCATTACACATTGACCCATGCAGCAAGTTCTTTTTGGAACAAAGGTAAATGATCCATAATTGTTTCTGTGATTCATGATTTAGTTGGTGCTTGTTACTCATGATACCATTTTGATCTAAAAAATCACTGACAATTTCAAATAATTTTGCTAAATGACACATACCTACAGTATTCTCAGTAAAACCTTTATTTAATAATGGTAATAATAATTTCCTGTGAACCATACAAAGTAATGGAAAGTTCATTTTTCAGTTTACTTCCATGTCACATGATCTGAGACGCACTAATCTTTAGGTAAGGTACTAACTAGACAAATCTGCCAGGCCCCCAGGGTTACTTCAATTTATGAAAGGACACAACTGTTGTTTTTCTAGGTTCATATGCAAATAGGAAAAGCATGTCCTATCAATGAAGAGTCCCACATTTTCAAATCTAATACTGGTTTAACTAAGTACATAGGGAATTCCTCACTGACTCATTTCTATCTTTGCTTGTTCTGCACTGAAATATTGTCTGTTTTGCGATTCCTTTGGTTTCAAGGGAAAGCAGGAATAATATACAATTTCTAACAGGTACAGGTAGTCCTTGACTTACAACAGTTAATTTAGTGACCATTCAAACTTACAATGGCACTGAAAAAAGTGAGTTATGACCATTTTTCACACTTATGACCATTGCAGCATCTCCAGGGTCATGTGATTTATATTGGGATGCTTAACAACTGGTTCACATTTATGACAATTGCCGTGTCCTGGGAGTCATGTGATGATTTTTGCAACCTTCTGACAAGTCAAAGTCAATGGGGAAACTGATTGACTTAACAATTGTGTTACTAATTCAACAACTGCAGTGATTCAGTTAACAAATGTGAAAATAAAAGTTGTAAAATGGGGCAAAACTCACTTAATAAATTTCTCACTTAGCAACATAAATTTTGGGCTCAATTGTGGTCATAAATCAAGGACTAACTGTAATCAGGCTGCTCTTCCCATATATACCATGCACTAAATTTTAGTTGTCTGCATATTAGAGCTTCTTGTACATAATACAATCAACGTAAGTATGTTGAGTTTCTTGAGGGAATCAGCACCAATATATAATTTATAAGAACTAAGTTAATTATTCAAGTTAGTTAAATTTAAATGCAGCATTGGGATGAATTTAAAGCATAGATTATTAGAAATTAAGACAATCACAAATGCTTGAGTAATATTCATGGAGTAAAGGAGACTTTATTTCCTTCTTTTCTTTTCCATTTTTCTGTTTCTCTTTGTTTGGATATGTATATAGTACCTACACCAGAAGAGATGTCCAATTTAACTCCAGAATCTTCCCCAGAGTAAGTAATTTATTTTAGTATGATAGATATCACTGCTACTTCGATTTCAATGCATTTGAAAAAAAATTGCAGCATTATAGGGTATTATACATCCCACATTTCTATCAGATTAAATTACTTAGCTTAATGCAAACTACAATAAGATATGCAAATAGGTAACATAAACTTTAACAATTCTGATGTTTCAAAGAATATTTTTAGTAAACTAACTGCAGTAGTTCAAAATAAGAGGTAAGATCATTTGTCTATCTGATCAAGTTAGAAAATTATTTGTGACCCCAGAGTGAACTATTAGTGAGGTGTGTTTTATAATAACAATGAAAACATATTCATCATGCTATTCAATTTGCAATCTTCTGAATTATATCTAAGTCTATTATACTGTGGTTAAAAACCAATTCATAAAAATGGCAGTGGTTGATTACTATATCCGGCGTTTCTCATAACCTCAAACATTTTAAGAAAAGCTTTAACTGCACCCATTATTAATTTGCATAATTAATTGATATTGCCACCAATTTCACTCCTGCTGGCATCACATCTCTTCCCTTAGGTATTGCAGGGCCTGTAATCACATTAATCCCCTCATTGTCATTCCATGGAAAAGGGAAATAAAATCAGTTCTTTTCAACCCTCTCTATATCCATGCCTTTTCTTCATGTTGCATGCATCTATACAATCATATGCTTAAAAAAACAACCAACATGTTTCAGAGGTTTGTATGAGGTAGATATAAAAAGGCTTTCAATTCTTTTTCCCTCGAAAAACCTGAAGATCAGAAACTGGGAGATGTCGCAAAAAGGAATCATTGCAAATGGTTATCAACAAGCTCTTCAGAACCAAAGCACTTTAAATAAACTCTTCAATGTTATTTCAAATATATCAGATCAGTTCTCAAATTAACTAGTTTAGCTAGCGATAATACAGGAACACAAAGATCCAGATTAGATTTGGAACTGATCCAGATCAGGGGGTGGGTTCCGGCAGTCACTGCGGCTGGTTTGCTCATGGGTGTGCAGCATGTGCACATGCTTGATGCGCACTGTGCATGCATGCGCAGTACAATAAAAATTGTTCTGCGCATGCGCAGAAGCCAAAAACAAGGCACCGTCAGGAGAACCGGTTCAGGGACATGGCAGGCCTGGATCACTGCCAGTTCCAATGACCCAGGCACCCAAACCACTACTGGTTCAGCTGAACCGGGCTGAACCAGTAGGAACCCACTACTGATGCAGATCCTTCATATGCTTTTAGTTTCTTGATTTTTGCTAAAAAACGCCAGTTGAGTTGGGACCTAGCAGAATATGTACCTTGATAGTACCTAGTGCGATGATGGAGTATGTAAGTTACTATTTAAATAAAAGTAGCTGATTACAAATATTAATACTAGCACATCATGAATATGAGAAGTTATTCCTGACGTACACTTAATTAAGACATTATTCAAAACTAGCTTGTTTCTAAATGCCCTTTTGAAATTTTTACCTGCCTATAATTATCCGGGAGGGATGGTGGTTCCTACAGAATCCATAGCAAATGGATTGTTGGCAATTCTTGTACTGACATATAAAATGTCATCTTTAACCTGTCAATGAATAGTAGTAGAATAGAAAAGTAGTAAAATAATGAAAACGATAGCATATAAACTATTTTTCCCCACTGTAAGTGGTCTCTTGATATATTTTTTTGAACAAAAACATGATCTTCTCTCTTGTTTCACTTCCTTTGTCTCAGGGATTTTTTATCAGTATGTGAAACATGCATGTCTGAATTCCTTTTCTTGCACTTCTCATTTTAAGGATGCTAGATAGAAGTCAAGGAGTCTTAGTAGGCAGTTTGAATGCAACTCAAACCCTAAGGCTCTTTTCCCCTCTCCAATATAATTGCTGAATTAATGAGTTCAATTTGATAGCACCCTGCAGTAAACATAATAGCAGTTGTAAAAAATAATGAACTGTATTTTTATTTCAGCCATAGAGGCCTTTATGTCCATGGCCACTTTGGAGTTTAGTATTATTTTTGCTTTACCAACAGGATGTTTCAATGAATTATTAGACCCATGATTGAAATTTTAACATGAATGTACTCCCTTTGTCTGTGGCCACATCTTTTAATGTATCTATTTTGTTTAATGGTTCAGATGATTGGATATTGTATCTTAATATGTCTAGATAATGTGCCAATTATTTGTGGACAAGCCTAGACAAATTAATAGAAATTAAGTGAATGTCTTTTATATATGTTTTAGTGTGAAGGCTCCATCTCTTTTTGCATTAATGGATCCATTTTAAAAATACAAACCTGAGATGATATTATCCATAATAAGTAATAAACCGATCACCCTAAATATTTTTGAATCTCTATCCAATATTAATATTCAGTTTAATCAAGCTATACAATTTAAATTTGCACGGAGGGACACAGCAGCCCTGTTCCCAGGGTTTCACTTCCCTTTTTTATAATCCTCAAACCATCCCTATGTCTAAGCTTTGGAAATGTGTGTAGAGGAAATTTCACTTTTGATTTCCCTTTCCCTAAATTTTTATTTATCTATTTTATGCATCAAATCACCCATCTTATTCACAGAGCAACTCTGGGCAGTGTACAATTAAAAATCATAGCTTTACATTCATCTAATGTGCTGATTTCCTCCCAAAATTGTTTTCAGCCTCTGGTTCCAAAAGAATTGTCCATCTGTGTAGAAAGATCATCAAAGAACTAATGTATCTGATTTGCATACATAAAATAGGCTTCCAAAGAAACATGTTTCTGGATTAGATGTTGCTTCTGCAGATAGCCATATCTACATGTCTATGCAGATTCTTAACCATCCAGGTCACAGTTGTCCCAAAGGTGTTTTTCAAAAGGCAACTGGACCTTCTTGGTATTTTCCTTGAAAATATTTTGCTTCTCATCCAAGAAGCTTCTTTAGTTCTGCAGACAAGCAAAATCAACAGGGGAAGCCAGATTCAATTAATGACTGGGAGACTCATTTAACTGCAATGAGTCATAAAAGTGGACACAACTAACTTAACAACCACCTTTTTTAGCAATGGAAACTCTGGTCCCAAATATGGTAATAAGTTGAGTACTGTCTTTACTTAATTCCTATAAACATAAGTAAGTTTGAACCCAAATATATATTGAATTCCAACATAAGAAATAATTAATTGAGAACATTGTTGGGATACATATACTTTTTCTAAGGGCAGGCAAGGCGTTGCTCTGTCAGCTCCAGCGAGCATGCGTGTGACAGCCAGCTGATTTTCGGCCTTGATTTTTGGCCATTTATCGCCCTCCGGAGGCTTCCCTGAAGTTTGAGAATGGACTTCTAGTTTGCGCATTGGGCTGTTTTTTGTCCTCTGGAGGCTCAAAGAAAGCTGTGTGCGCATGCGCAGGCACATGGTACAGGGCGCATTAAATTATAGGGGTGGACACTCAAGCACATATGTGTGCTTTTGGCACCCGAGGCGAAAAAGGTTCGCCATCACTGACATAGGGTATGCAAGTAGCCACTGGGATTACAGTTTACAAAATTACTCCTAAAACCCAGTAGAAATTTAGTTAAGTCCTTCAAAATGTGTTTAATCAATAATTGACAAAAAGGGATGGCCTAGGACCTGGATATCTGAGAGACCGTCTCCTGCCACATACCTCCCAATGGCCGATAAGAACTCGCAGGCTGGGCCTTCTCCGAGTGCCGTCGACCGGACAATGTCGGCTTGCAGTTCCTCGGAGGAGGTCCTTCTCTGTAGCTGCTCCGACCCTGTGGAACAACCTACCTGTAGAGATCCGGACCCTTCCCACTCTCTCGGCCTTCCGAAAAGCCACTAAGACCTGGCTATTCCGGCAGGCCTGGGGCTGTTGACTTCATGAATGAGGTCCAGCCCCACCCAGATTGAGTGTATGGTGTGTTATTTTTAAATTGTTTCTTTTTAAATTGTTTCTTTTATTTTAACTCCTTATTTTAACTTGTTTCTGTAAGCCACCCGGAGTCCTACGGGATTGGGCAGCATATAAATTTATTAAAAGTTAAGTTAAAGTTAAAAAATGTTTTCATAGAAAACTTTAACATCAAATTTAATAGTCTATATACTCATTGGCGTGTCTCCTTGCTTCTACCTTAACCAAATTTTTGTTGCCTGAGGACAGAGTAGACCAAGGTTAATTATTTGTGTTAATTCTATATTTTCAGATGTCTCTTATTTAGAAATTCAAGTTCTTCTTAATCTTACTATTGCCTTTTGCTTTTTTTCTTCCTCTTTCTCTTTCCTCATTGGATTCAATTATCCTCTGTAAAATGAAAAATAACAGAACTACATGGAGAGAGGAGCATTTTGACTTAAAATGGTATTTTGCGTGTGTGCATTTATATTTATATTTACATTTATATTTTCCCCCTTTTTATGGGTAATTCCTTTCTTCAGGGTGGGGTCAGGGTGACTAAGTGGAACTAAGTATTTACTAGCCGGATGCCCCTCTTGACTCCTATGTGGTGTTCACAGCAGATATTTTTTCTTTGAACCTTGATAGGGAAACATCTGTCACTACCTAGAACTGAATTCTCAACCTTCCAAGTGGGAGGCAAGAATCTTCACCTGTAGACTAGTGACACAAATATATATATTTATGCAGAATAAAATTCAGTCAGATGCTTAAAAGTAAGCTATCTGCCATCTCAGTTCTGGACATCACAAAACCTTTACCAATCTTCAAAATTACAGTTATGTAATTATACCAAAAATGACTGAAAATTATCAGCTCAGAAAATCATCATAATAAGCATCCAACTATAGAAGTGAAAAATAGTATCAGTCGGATTCCACTATCAGAATCTTTAGCTGACCAGCTTCCAGTTAGGAAAACAATGATTTAATCATCTCTGAAGCAAGATGGTGAGTAACTGGGGGTTTATTTTGCCCCCAGTTACTCAAAGGGGCAATTTTTCTTCCACCAAATTTAAGGAACAAATTTGAAATCAACCCATCTATCCTCCAGACTGTCTTTCTTCATGAACAAGTTGCAGAAATGGACATTTCCCCAATCAGCAAGTGAGTTGAACAACAGGGAAGCAGAGTCTTCCATCAAGTTCATAGCTGTACTGAAGTCTAAATTTAAAGGCACTACAACTTACTTTCCTCATTTCTAATGGGGATTATAATTTCTTCTTCAGTTAAAGAGAGACTTTCTTCAGGTACAGATAAATGTTTCTCTTTGGTGATTTTCATTATTTCTGGGATTGCAATATTTAGAAATATCAGGACAGCATCAAACTTTGCCTGCCTCCCAAAAATCAAAAAACCAAATCAAATATTTCAGTGGAAATAAATTTGTCTTTGAAAGAATGATCAGAAAGAACCTCTTGTATGGGAACCTGTCTTGTTTGCACATCAACCATAAGACAAAACCTTGAAGGTCAATTAACAGAGCCAAGATGGCTACTTTAAAGGAAATATTTGATTATGGGCCTGTGAAGTGTTTGGACTTTTTAACTCATTACTGGAACCAGTTGTTACCACTGAAGATGGACTTTAAAATGTTTCTCTTGTCATCCAAGAAGCTTCTTCAGTTCTCACTGGAGGCAATTGAAGTGGATTCATTGGAGCCACAAATGCAATTGGATAATCAATTGCAAACTTGAAAAAGACATTGTGGATTATTCTTTAAAATTGAAATACAAGATATTTATTGGAGTTCTTCATGGAACCTATAAGTGGACTTGAAAGATGATAAGAATTTCAAGAGAAGAGAAAAAGATACTAGAGGAAACCAGAACTCAGAATTTCATTTACAGGATATAAAGATGGTTAGGAGAAAGAAGGAAAAACTATTCTATTCTATTCTATTCTATGAATTAAATATTTATAAATGAGTTTATAGAAAATAGAGTGAGGTATAAAATGAAAAAAACATTCTAAGAGATGGTTGACGTGTTAATGAAGATACTTTTGAAATTTTTGCAAGAAACTAGGAGAAATGTAATTTTGATTTTGGGATTTGATTATATAGGATTATAGAAACCATGAAGACTATTGTTAATTTTAGAGTAAGAGCTGGATGTACTTTTATCTATAGCTGTACCAAAACCAGTGGTGAAATTCAAAATCTTTTACTACCAGTTCTGTGGCTTGGTGGTGGGGGTCCTGTGACTGAGTGGGCATGGCCAACTCAATGACTTTCATGGCCACGGCCACTCAGTCACATGCCACCACCACCACCAAGCCACGCTCACAGAACCTGGTAGGAAAAAATGTGTGTATGAGCTGCTGCTCCCTTTATGGTCACCCCTGGCCCTCTCCCTTCTGAAGGTCGAAGTACCTTAAAGGGACAGGCTGTAGCAGCTCTTCTGTGAATGGAGGGAGAAATGTTTGGATTGTCTCTGCTGCATTTAACGTTGAATTGCCTGGCAGAGATGATCTGATCGTTTTTCCCTCCATTCACAGCAGAGCTGCTGCAGCTTGTCCCTTTAAGATAGTCCCCCAGGAGGGAGGGGGAAGGGTGGGGCAGGGACCATAAAGGGAGCAGCAGCTTTGCTGTGAATGAAGGGGAAAATGTTCAGATTGTCTCTGCCACAGAATTCAATGATAAATGCAGCAGAGACAATCCGAACATTTTTCCCTCCGTTTATGGCAGCCCCCCTGGCTCCCTGGGTCTACCTCAAAGGGACAGGCTGATGCAGCTCTGCTGTGAATGGAGGGAGAAACGTTTGGATTGTCTCTGCTGCATTTACACCAGACTTCAGTGATCTTGATCGGCGTAAATAATGTTTCAATATCATGAATTATTTCTCCGTAGCAGACTCTGTATATAAATGGGTCATGTCACCTTGATTATCTAGAATTAATTTCAACACCTTTTCAGCATATGGGGCATGCTGTTTATTAGAATTTTGAAGCTGGTTGTTGCGACTCCCCATTAATACTTTCAACTTCAGCCTTTTCTGATCTAAATTATCACATCTCTTCATCTCCAAAAAAGGGTTTCATCTCATCCACCACTCTGTGGTTTTTATCTGCATGAATTAGGTCTTTCTTTTTTTTAAAAAAAAGCCCTGTAAATCATAAAAAAGAGCTTTTATTGAGGCGTACAAGTTCTTAAAGCTATTATTCCATCATATGCTCTGCTAAATTATCCTCCAAGTTAAAAAATATATTCTTCAAGGAGCTGTTCTATTTTGTGAATTATTTTTTTAAAAAACTCGCTGTATCGCAGAAAGTTCCTGGTTATGCAGTATCACTGGAAATGTAAAATCTTTATAATCTTTATTCTAGATCATACAATCCTGTCAACAGTCTTTTTATTCCTTCTTTTATACTCCAGTGCAACTGATTTATTTTGTTACTGATAAACATAAATGTGTCCCTTGCAATTTTATGTCTGAATAGATAGTAAATCATATGCTTTCAGTAGTATCTTTTTATAGCTCGGTATTCTCCCTAATAGAAGGAAGAGTTAAAGCATTATGAAGAGGTGGAGATATCTCAGTGGATGGGAAAGTGTATATACACTATAGGAAAAGGAAATATGTAGTTGTTAAAATGTGTAGCATACCTATATGCAATATGGCAGTTTATTATATGCGCATAACCATTAGTAATATTCATCTGCACTTTAAAAGCATACAATAGGCTGGAGAGTACACTTCTGTTGGGAGATAGTAATATATAAGTGGTCTTAAGATTGGCAGAAGCCTACAGGAATTAATAATAAGCGGTGTTCATGCACATATATATGGATTGGCCTGGAGAAAACTGTATCTATGTAGTTGCTAAGAGTCAACACTGATTTGGTGGGTGGGAATCTGAAGGCAGATTCAACAAAGTTTATTAATATGCTTTGAGTGTTCTGGGGTGTCCTGAATCAAGTAGTACATTTCAGAAAGCTATGGTCAAATAAAATATGTAGTGTCCCCTCTTTGCTCTACTCCAGATTTCTTAATTACCTGCTTAAATAAGTGACTCTTTCTCTTTACTATTCCTCATTGTCATCTTTGGCTTTTGGATATTTTGAGCAATTCTGCTTAATTTTCTCAATTTTCTCTTATTATGGAGAAAGAGGGAGAGCTTTACCAAATTATAATTGTTTTATTTTGCCAGACAGGGTAGGGGAGAAAGAGGGATGGATGAATGCATGCATGCTCTTTTTTAATGTGTCTTCACTTTTACAGACACCCCCCCCCCAATAAACTAGTTTTCATTTTGTCTATAGAGGGGTGTATGAGTACTAAATAACCTCAAGCATGCATTACAATAGTTGTGCCATTACTAGTTGTATGTGTTCCCAGAATTTTGGGAGAGCAGAGGTTAGAGGACCCTGGACCAGCAAAAGATGCATGAACTATGGAAAGCCCCAAAGGGTACTGCTGCCTTTTCTTTCTCATAAAGCTTTCTCACAGCCATATCCATTACTAATGAGCACTACTAAATTTGCACAAATAATACTAAGCCTTTGTTTTCTGACAATTGACCCATAAAAAATTAAGGTGTAACTACATGGTTTTTTGACATAGTGAATGACATCATACTAGGTGATAAGGGTAGTTCCAGGGTCTCTGTGATGAAATCTAAGTTGTATGAAAACTACACTCACATGCAATTTGCTATTGCTGTTTTCAGTTGCAGTCTACCCTATGATGCTTATATTTCCCCCACTGCAGTCACCTGATCTCCCTCCAAGGTAGAGGGTGACAGAAATAGCTTGTATTTATTGTGAGGCCGCCCTTGGATTGTGTCACAACAAATGTTACTTGAGAAGTATTACATTTAAGAAAGAATTAAGTCAGATTTATTTGTGGGCTGAAGATGAGATAAAAGCTATGTCGTGGGGACATGGCTAAAAACAATATACTTGTTCTGTGATGCAGAAAGACCTATAGTACAATTCTGTGCTGTTCCTAATTTTTATTGGTCTTTTCCTGTTTCTTTCTTTCTTTTTCTCATCACATGTATATTCAGGCTTGCCAAAAAATCCTGGTTTGGTAATTTTATCAACCTAGAGAAAGAAGAACAGATCTTCGTGGTTATTAAGGACAAACCATTGAGTTCTATCAAGGCTGATATAGTACATGCATTTCTGTCGGTAAGCATATAAAATTAAAGGCAAATATCCCATTCAGTTGGATGAATAAACATCCAAAACAAGATGTGGTCTCTCAGTCACAAATGACCTACTTTTCCACAATAAAGGTAAAGTCTTTATCAAATTCTCATTTGTCTGTTGTAGAACATCTCTGTACTTTTCTTGGCAACAATCTGGAAAGGGTTTGTAATTGCCTTATTTGGGGGTTGCTTCTTTACTATTTCCCATATAGGGTATGTCAGGTTTTCTCCCCTGAATGACACTCTGGGCCTCTGGGCTGGCCGGAGCTGACAAGGTATAGTCTTGGATGTATGCAAGCCAAGTATGTTTCATTTCTGAACTCAGAGAAGGACATTGGGTGGTGCCACATGGAATTTAAAAAGTGGCTTAGTGTGGCACATAATCAAACACTCCTTGGAAAGTCTAGTATGAGAACACTGAAAACAGGAGCTCATTTCAGTGAACCAGAGGTGGGTTCCTACCAGTTCGCACCTATTCGGTAGAACCGGTTTGTCAAATCTACCGAACCGGTTAGAAGAGGTTCCACCAGTGGACCCAGAAAGCAGGCCACACCTACAGAAGAGGTTCCAAAAATTTTTGAAACCCACCACTGGTCCTTGGATATGATTATTCTACACTAACATGCTCATATTTATAAAACTCAGTGTCTCTGTGAAAGGTAAGGATGACTACTGCATTTGTGGTGCAATCAGAACATTGCGTGTGTTAAAATTGTTTTAACGCAAACCAAAGATGCCTTTTAAAAAACAAGTTTACATCATATTCTTATGCATGCCAGTGCTGTGTGTGAGGTAATTTAAGGTGGTTCTGACAAGTGTCGTCGGCATCTTCATATCCGGTCACATGGCTGGCAAGCCACTCCCATCTGGTCACATGGGTGGCAAGCCACTCCCACAAAGGAGGCCACACCCACAGAGTAGGTTCGAACAATTTTTGAAACCCACCACTGCAGTGAGCCAAGGTCCCGTCTTTATCTGGATTATGTAGTTGCCTTCCAGCCTCTCTTTTTAAAAATACTGCTTGTTTGTGTTCTTTACTTTTAATTAGTTTCTCCTTATTGACTTGTGTATCCACATATTTCATAATTGCGTAGTTTCTATTTTCTCCTGAAGAGAAACATATTCCTTTCTTACTGTTCTTTCTTTTCTTCTCTTTTCTTCCTCTTCTTCTTCTTTTCAATATATTCAAAAGAAATTTTGTGATCAAACTCATTCAATTATAGTAATTCAAATGATCATTTCTCTGAAAAGAAGAAGCCGCTAATTATTACCAACCCGTAAGGAACAAAAATTGGCTAATTAAGACTTGGCTCAGGAACGCCCTGTTCATAACTGGAGAAAAGAAAGCAACATATTAAAGGGCCAGAAATGGAGGAAACAAGCCATTTCAAAACAAAAGATGGAAATTGGAAAAAAGCAACTGTGAAGAGTCAGTAGTACTTTTTTGCCACTCCTATTCGACAGGAGCTGAAATTGTATCTAAATTAGAAAAGATAAGTCGGAATTTAAATGCTGCATGATAATTGGATGGTGAGACGTCCCAGTGAAGGAAAGCAATTTATTTTTAATATAAACGATCTATATAGCTTGAATAGCTTTTTAAACATATCAATATATGTTTCTTAAAAAACCATAAGAGCACTGCTGTGGCGCAGTGGTTAGAGTGCAATACTGCAGGCTACATCTGCTGATCGATGGCTGTCTGCAGTTTGGCAGATCGAATCTCACTAGGTTGACTCATCCTTCCATCCTTCCGAGGTGGGTAAAATGAGGACCCAGATTGTTGAGGGCAATATGCTGACTCTGTAAACCGCTTAGAGAAAGCTGTTAAAGCACTTGGAAGCGGTATATAAGTCTAAGTGCTATTGCTATAAAGCGAGTAAATGAGAAGATCATTACCAATTATTGCAGAATTAACAGAGAAATGTTCTTCTATCTCCTTTCAAACTGTAAGGGGTGGGGGTGAAGCTTTTCAAAGATGATTCTATCGTGCTAGCAGGATTTGTTTTTGAATTGTCGTTTCATTTGGTCTAGATTCCCAGTCTCAGTCATAGTGTCATCTCCCAAACAAGCTTCCGGGCAGAGTACAAGTCCACAGGAGGCCCTGCTGTCTTCCAGAAGCCAGTGAAGTTCCAGGTAGACATTACATACACAGAAGGTGGGGAGGCCCAGAAAGAGAATGGGATCTACTCCGTCACTTTTACACTTTTATCAGGTAACTGATAAATATTTTTTTTAATTTATTTTAAATAAACTAGAAGAAATAAATAATTGTCTCAAACCTGCTGTCTGGGTTTGTATGGAGAATGCAGATAGGAAGAAAGGACTACTTCAAATATGGCTAGTTGCTTCAACACGTTAATGCGAAAATGTTCAAATAGAATACTCTGAGTGCTCAAAATATGCAATAGGTTCCATTTCCTAGTGTATAATTATTATGGACACATGGAAATAAATAATTAGTATAGCTTGCGAAGCTTAATTTATCAATCATGTAGAATTTAGTGTTTCCCCAAAGAATCACATTGTTTGGCTTATGTAAAAAATAAGTAAAAAAGAGGAAAGCCGATGTTTTTTAATACTTGAAATAAGAAGGATTAATTGAAATGTCTTAGAACTCCATAAAACTTTGTATACGCAGAGGTGTGCTTGACCAGTACTGACATTCAATAAAACTAATTTTACTGCCTTCTTAAAATTTCAGGAATTGGGTAGATTATCAAGCAGTTCACAGGCTTAATACATAGTTCAAGTGGCATTGAATATTCTTGGTAGACATAATCTCTGTTTGTTACTCACATTTTGAAACTATTCCCTTAAAAATATCATATTATTTTTCCCCTCCCAGTTCACTCAGTAATGAATCATATTGTGTGTTTAGTTTCATGGCTAATAAATTGTGCTAGCTGTCATTACAACATAGTTTTTTCTTTAACTTATGGATTGGCTTATGTTGGTGACAAAAGCTATTCAAAATCCCTAAAATGAACCAACATCCTCTTTGTGGAAGACAGCTAAAAATGTGTAGGAACCTACAGACAAACCAACGTGATTAAGAAAGGAAAATAGAAGCTTTAGTAAGATTAAACAATGTATAATTTTATTAGATCTATCATCAATTATTGCTATTAGCTTTTATATTGTTACCACCCAAGCAAGGTACAACACCTAGAGAACTGGTCATTTTTACTAACAAGATCAAAAAGAGAGAGAGAGAAAGAAAGATCTCAAAGAACAATGAGATGTCATATGAACAAAAGAAGTGAGATATGTGTCTTTGGAGATTCTCAGTCATCCAGATCATGGTTGTCCCAAAGTTGCTTTTTCAAAAGGCAACTGGACTTTGTTTGTTTTTCTGTAAAGACGTTTCACTCCTCATCCAAGAAGCTTCTTTAGTTCTGACTGTTAAAACTGAAGAAGCTTCTTGGATGAAAAGCGAAACATCTTCAAAGAAAAGCAAACAAAGTCTAGTTGCCTTTTGAAAAAGCACCTTTGGGAGAAGTGAGATACAAGAATTTTGGAAACAAGAATTAAAAAAGGAAAGAGAATAAATTTATTGAATAGAGAGGCAGGGGCTAGCATGGTAAGAAAGCTAAAGGTAAAAGAAATACTGTACTATCAAAGTACAGTACAGTATTTCCACCTAGTAAATCATGTCTATAAAGTGGTGTGTTACCAATAATATCTTGGCAGGGATGTGCATTGATAATGCATTGATCAGAACAAGGAAGGAAGGAAGGAAGGAAGGAAGGAAGGAATCTGAATGTAAAAATTAAAGAAATAGGCTTTTTCCTACCTCTTCCCTGACACTCAACCTTCTGTGATATTCTGCCTTATCTTACAGTGTAACGTCTCTTTTGATAGGTCCAAGCCGTCGCTTTAAGAGAGTAGTAGAAACCATTCAGGCACAATTGTTAAGCACACATGACCAGCCATCAGTGCAACAATTATCAGGTAAGTTGCTTCCAAAGCTTATCTTTTCTTCACCCAAGGGCATGAACCGGAAGCATCTTCCAACGTCACATTGCACCTGAAAACTAATTTCATTCAGACCAATCAGTAAGACTCCACAGCACTTCCCTCCCATTTGCACTACCCCTGCCTGCCTTGCAACAATTCTCATTTCCTAAATTCATTCCTCCCCATGGCCCCGCCCTTCCCTGCCCCGCCCCGCCCTAAGAGCCATCTGTCCCTGTTTCACAGGAAGTGTCATCAGCTATTTATATCCTTCTAATGATCTGTCCAACATACAGACATGCTTTGAAACATCATACAAAATGACCTTATTCAATTATTTTTTAAAAACAAAATTAAGCAATAGTTTAATTTAGTTCCTGAAAAAAATAGAATTTTGAAAGCAGATGGGAATACCTGGAAGCTTAAAGCAAGATTAATTTTTGGAAGGAACTAGCATTGAAGAATCAGGTGTGCCGTTTTCTCTGCTCTCTAAACTTAAAATCATTGAGCAAAGACAGAAGGTGATTGTCTTTGCTCTCTTTGCTTTTTTTCTTAATGGGATGACACATTCCCTCAAAGCCTTACTAACAAAATTTGGTCCCTGCAATTTCTTCTAACCTCTCTAGCCTTCTTCAAATCCTGTTTTTCGCATTCCAAAAGTCACTTCCCTACCACCCCAAAAAAGGAAATTTTGTTATTCCCAAACAAAATGATCATAGGTGATATTTGTTAACAGGGAGGATATGGGGAATACATTGTGATTAAATAGATACAAAATACAGTTAGGCCATCGATCTAAATGGAACTTTTTTTTTTCATTTTTCTATGCTTAGGGAAATAAGAAATTTGTCCATACATTAGTGACAAGCCTAACCTTTTCAGATAATTTATGTAAGCATTTGCAGGCAAATGTAATATGGAAATGAAAGGGGATAAACAGTATCTGAAACTGAGAGCTGGAATAGAAAAAGACTTACAAGATATTGAGATAATTGGAAGTTGTTTATATTGTATCCTTTTCTCCAGCTTCCTCAATCGATACATTAGGTTTTAAGCATAGATTTTCCCAGACATTCAGGTATAAAATGAGGTAGAATCTTCTATGTGCAAAATGTATGCCGTTTAACTATGGGCAAATAGTGTATGTATATGTACATACATATGCATATTTTGTATAGGTAGTTATTCATATTAGTAAAAGAGAAAGAAATGTCTAATGAATAACAGGAAAGGATAAGAACCCACTAAATGAACATTGCAGAATGATTGCTTATTGATTTTCTGTCCATTAACACTTTAGCCTGATCAGACTGTTCCTTATCACAAATTTTGGCCCTACTGCTAGACTGCATTATAATCTTAAAGTTTTGGCCAGTCACTGCAGAAAATGGACTTTCCATATGCAACTGATACCCAATAAAGTTAAGGAATAGCCGCCACACCATGTGAATTCACATTAAAATAAATGTCTGGCTCGTTAGAATTCTTGATAAGAAACAAGCAATTTGCATGTAGACACAATTTTAAGTTATAACAAAAGTGTAGGTATAATTGAATAAGAGCAGTAATCAAGAAAGGCATCACAAGAAGACAATTTCCGAGGAGTATAGCTTGCTATTTATATTGAAATGGGAGAGGATTAATAAAGAGTTAATCCCTTAATCAGTACCACATGAGTGTTGACTAACCACTTGAAAGAATGCTACTCTCATTCCAACACCATATTCTTATTTAGGAAATAATAACCATCTTCAGTTTAGCAGGATGTTTTCCCAACCTAAGTAATTGATAACCAATTCATAGTCTATGAGGAACCATTATTTATGTAAAAAGATGCATTAGTTGTTATTACTTCATCTAAGTCTAGCCTCTTAAAGAGGTTTGGAGAACTTATTTTTTAACAAAATAGTGTTCCCCATTTTTCCAATCAGGTGAATGATTGGATATTCCAGGTGAGTGGTTGGATATTCTATATGAATGAACTATACTGTGGAAGGGAATAAGCTAACATAATGTATATCAACAGATATTCCCTCCTGCCTAGGTGATATACTTGTGAATATTGTCTCTAGTTGTAACACTGCCAGCAGGGACTTGTGACTTCATGGAGGTGATCCTTGGCTAATTCTCCCGACCCAGTTTATTAAACTGGCTCACCTGGGTTTCAGAACAGGACTGGTCTCTGTGGTTTCTCATTCTTTGCAAGTCCACATCTGTGTTGGTGGTCATCAGGTTTTTCTCTACATGCATCTCATCTCAGTGGTGTGTCTGTGTTTCACACCTTTGTATTCCATTTAAGTACTGTCTTCATTCTCATTTCTGCTTCTTGGGACTTACTTTGCTTATTACTTTTAACTCATCTGGATCAAGGCTTTAGGATAATTGGTGTGGTATCAGGGCTCAGTAGTTTCTCTGGAATTGGGGAAACCTAATGTCAATGTCAACCTAATGACAGCCATGGAAACTCAGTGGGTGTCTTTGGTGAATCTACCTGATAGGATTGCTATGGTGAAGATAAAATGGATGCGGGGGAGCCCTGTGTAAGTTGCCTTGGGTGACTGAACAAAAGGCAGAATATAGAATTAACAATAAAATAAGCCTATAGAAATTAATTGCACAAATGATTTTATCATCATAAGAAGCTTGACCCATGGAACACAGTTTTTGCTCTCAGAAATCCTTAAAGCTTTGGACTGAAAAAGAACCTGCCTAACTTTATGCCATTTAGTAAAAAGTTACATTTGCAAAACAAATAATGTTTCAATTAGTATGAATTGTGACCTTGTCTCTCTATCAGCAGGCTTTATGAACATATTAACTTTCTATATGATTCTTTCATAAAGTAAATATTACTTTATGAAATATTACTTTAAATATTACTCAGTCTAATTCCCTCTGCTCTACCATGGTAGTTTCTAAACTTTTTGAGTGTTATTTCCAAGTACCAGCATTTAGAAATACAGGAAAGTTGACAATGAGTGTGTGATGACAGACAAGATGTACCTTCTTCTGGTCCTGTTAATTGGGTTATTTCCTCTTCAAACTGTAGCATTAAAACCTCTTTTGCTCTTACAATAGTGCAAGCAAATAGAATTGAGAAACAGATTTATGATAAGGGAAAATTGGTTTCTTCAGGTTGCTCATAACTAACTGTGTTTTTAAAAATACTTGGGTAATCTGAAGAGCTCTTTAGTAAATATAAATGTTCCCATAACAGGAATGTAAGAATTGGAAGCAACCAGATCAGAAAGTGAAATATTATTTCGTGGGTCTTGGTTCTAAGCAGTCTCTAGAAATGAAGGATTTTCCCTGATGCATCAGTGGGGAAGTAGCCTCAATCTCCCCAAGTGCTATTCCTGTAGTATATCCAGGGTGTAATTAAACCTGGGTTTTGTTTTCTAATACAAGGTTCAAGAGTCAATAGGTACACTGGTACTCAGAAGTGTCACATTGAGGACACCAGAACTATTAGTTTTAAACTGGAGTGTTATTTTACATTAGAGTAACATATTGAAACAGATATAGATTCTAACATTTTTTTTAAAAAAGTACAGATGACAATAGTTAGTACAGTCCTAGAAAGACCCTGGCTTATAAATGCCCTTGATTGCTTGTATAAAACATTGTATGAAACTGCATATTTGAGATATTTCAAAGAAATTAAGTGTCTGTAGCACATTGGGATTCTACTGAATAGTTTTCTTCCTCCATGGAGTTTAGACATAAAGGGAAAGGCTATATTCACAATATGTTTTACCACTTTAAGCCTAACACTATATTGTATCTCACTGCATGTGTAGACAGAGTTCACCTTTCATTTGATTACTGAAAAATTGAAAATTATCTATATTGAGCCGTGGTGGCGCAGTGATTAGAGTGCAGTACTGCAGGCTATTTCTGCTGACTGCTGGCTACCTGGCTCACCAGGCTCAAGGTTGACTCAGCCTTCCATCCTTCCAAGGTGAGTAAAATGAGGACCCAGATTGTTGGGGGCAATATGCTGACTCTAAACCACTTAGAAAGGGCTGTAAAGCACTGTGAAGTGGTATATAAGTCTAAGTGCTGTTGCTATTGCTATATTGAATGAGTTTCCAGTTTTAGCATGTATCCTAGAGGTGGGTTCCTACCAGTTTGGACTGGTTCATTCGAACCGGTAGTGGTTTGCTGGCCTGGGTCACTGGAACCAGCACTCCTCCAAACCAGTTCTCCGGTTGAGCATTATTTCGATCCAAAATTCCATAGTAGAGCATTGCTTTCTGTAGGACTATATGTCAGATATGAAGGCAACAGGCTTCTTCTGCTGTTCTCATCAACTGCCTTTCAGAGGATTGCCTTTGTTTCTCCTCTAACTAGACTGGACTGCATAAAAATGCATTGTTACAGCAACATTGTTTGCAAACTCCCCCAATTTTTTTTTAAATAAAATCCTTTATTTCTGTTAAATTTTTGGCTTGTACAAATATATACTGTATATATCATAAAAAGTGTATTCTTTCTCAGCTGATTCTTAAAAACCACACAGTATTTCTTCATATATAATTCTTTGGGATGCTATTTGCTTTATAGTCAGTCCAATTTCACTTCTTGCTCCAAGTTCATTTAATGCATAGTTTTCTTTTTGCTTTCTTGTTCTTCCCTTAAAAAAATAATAAGCTAATCTTTTTCAGAGGTATTGGGTTGAGTTGAGGCTATTCAGCTCCAAGAAGACTCTGATGTCATACAATAGTCCAATATTAAAAGTATATTAAAGACATACTAAAAGCCACATAATTGCCTGGACCAAAACTACACTTCCCAACATGCAATAAATCATTAGAGGTTCTAGAGCCACCTTAACCCTAGAGAAGTGATCGTGAACCTTTTTCTTATGGTGTGCCACAATTGTTTGCATGCTATCGTGCACGCACATGTGCCCACACTAATTCAATCCTCTTCACCCATCTGCACATGCATGCACGACCCAGGAACGAACTTCCGGTTTACCCGTTGGGCCTGTT